AGCTGCATCTCAGAAAAAGTAAATCGATTTATTAGAGGTTGCCACGTTGGCGCGTGGCTGGGTGCAGCCGGTACTAAATCACATCACGCATTTCCCCCCTTGACCCTGGTCTTCCCCCCACCCCCTGGATGTGATTTCTTCAATGGGACACATCCATCTCCAAAAGTCATCCATCATGCTCTCCAACAACCTTCTTACACTCCGACAACTTTGGGCTGCCAAGATGATTATCTAGGCATTTAAGGAATGCCTTGTTTTCCCCCGCTCCCTTTTTCTGGCAGCTAAAAAGACCAGAGGAGTATCTTTCTAGTTGACAGTGAGCTCTCTTCCCCACCTATGGCTCCTAATAAATGTTTATCGAGGGGACCGCTCTCTTGAACCTCTAGGGGGTTCCACCCATTAAAGGGTCTGTATGAAAGTGTGTTGTTGCCAGGAGTCAAAGGGTAGAGGGGTTATTATTTGACTAATGTACTCTTTTTACTTATTTTTTTTTACTTCAATCTACGCATACACAACTTTATATAAACAGTGCGGCATCAATATATCATACATTTTGGTGTAATCAAAGTTAATGGTACCAATCATATCTCTTAATACACACATTCGCATTAAGTTCATAATCCTACATTGCTTATTTTCAACATTTCAATACTTTCTCCTAATGCCAACCACCGTGTCATTTAAACATACCTAGTAATTTCATTATTCAATTTCCTCTCCCGTTTTTATATTTTAAATAAAAGTTCTCATTTGGCAAGCTGTGTGGTTCCAGGTTTCACTTCTCGGTGCAAACATGACCATAGGTTGTTGGTTTGTTTTTTTTTTTTAACTTCTTTTATATGGTTTTTATATCCATGCAAGCCGCCTTGAGTCGCCTTGTGCGAGTAGGTGGCAATGAAAAAATTCTAAAATAAATAAAACTCAATCTGGGAAGGTACCTTAAATTGCCCGTGTTCCGCCTTCCAGACGACAAGATCCGGGAGGCCGCCCCTGCAATGGCGCAAGTCCTGGGAGAGTCGTCGGAAAACTCCACTCAGAAAGGGCCCCCCTAAGCAGCAGACCAGGCTCTGCAAAACAAGGGGTGGGTGGGCTTTTTTTAAACCTCAGGAAGGCCACCTCCACAGCCACATGGGAATCTTGTTCCGTTTCTGGGCTTTGCTCTGAAAAGCGAGGTGATCCTTTCCCTCCGCTTTGCAAAAGTCCTTTTGTACGCTATTGTACATTCCCTCCTCCTCTTCCTCCTCCGGTCCTGAAGGTAGCTGAGAAGTTTCCAAGAAGCCCCTTCGAGAAACTTAAAAGACTACTTAGTAATAAAGCTTCTCCTTCTTTCTTTTCATGTGCCAGGTTAGCCATAATTTCCTTGGTGGGATGCAAATAGCAATCGCCCTTAGATGATATACCCTCTTTTGACAGCCCTTTCTAAGCGGTGTACAAAGTCAGCCTTTTGACCCCCAACCATCTGGGTCCTCATTTAACCCACATCGGAAGGATGAAAGGCAGGAGAACCTGACATGAGGGTCCCAGGTCATAGAATCTTGATTAGTCTTAAGTGAAAATACCTCTTTGAAGTGAATATGGTGATCAGAAATGAAGGGAAGTTGTGAGTGATTCAGCCTTGGGGACCTGTTGGCCTTTCAGGTGGTCTAAATGATCTTTTTTCCCCATGGGATGGTGCTGGTAAGGACTGAACTGCCAAATTGCAGTCAGCCGGCAGTCAGCAGAAGTAGCCTGCAGTACTGCACTCTGACCACTGCACCACCGTGCTTATAAAACTATAGGCAAAGGACTGCTTATAGTCTCATCTCAGCAACTTATCTATCAGGTAATCAGAGAGTCTTTACTATCAGAAGTGGATAGACTTCAATTCCCAGAATACCCCAGCCCATCCTTTTTTGGCAGCAGGGCTCCACAAAGTTTCCAGAACCATCTCTGGAGAGGCTAGTAGGGAATCTGGCACTCTGTGCATCTGCAAAGTGCGGGCTCTGTGGAGGAGGTGCTGTTCCCCACTCACCTGGGCTTGCTGGAGGGAAGAGAAGCGGTCCCAACTGATCAGCACTGACGCTTTTCCCTCCTGGGCTCCCCACACTTCGCCCACCCACTTCTGGAGGGTCTCCGTTGATGCATCGTGCACCGACTGCAACTTGGCCTCAATGGCCGACTGGCGATTCTTGTAAAAACTGCTTGTGTGCAGGTCCAGGGGAAAAGCCTTGGGACAGGGGACATAATTCCACTGAAAACTCCCACACATAAAGACACTTTTGACAGAAGAGAGTATTTGTAGCTCGGGGCTGAACTGTTCTTACAGACGTTTCATGACCCAACTAGGTCACATCATCAGTGCTGGAAGGAGCGCAAACCCCACTCCTTCTTGAAGTTGTTACCCATTTGGGCAATGAAACATTTGCAAGAAAATAACCAAGCTCAGAGAGCACCAAGGACCCGCACAGTCCTCTTTCTCTCCTCCTCCAACCCACCTCCCTTCAGCACTGAAGATATTACCTAGCAGGGTGTTGAAATGTCTACACCAAGCTCAGAGAGCGCCAGGGACCCCACCATTCAACCCTGAGCTACAAATATTCTATCTCTTTACCCATTCTGAACCCAAAGCTTACCTGGTATGAGTTCCTAAAGACATCAGGGACGCCATCCATGAAAAGGATGTCCCACATCAGGAGCCCGTAGAGGGTGGTAAAGGTGGACCCTTCGCCATGGATGCCTGGGGAACAGCCGCAGTGGAAGTCACAAGAAAAAAATTCGGAATAGTTTTACGTTCCAACCCCAAAACAATTCTGCCCTATTTATCGCCATCCCAACATTTGCCTTATGCCTTGACTTAAAGCTTGCCAGCTTTGCCGAGTCTGTAGCTCTTCTCACTGGGCTTTCAAGAAGAGATTGGAAACCATTTGTCTCCTGAATTAGAGTTGGACCAGAAGACTTCCAAAGTCCCTTCCAATCTGTTATTCTTCCTACGCCCAAGGTCATTCTCACAGGCCCTTTCACGAAGGGAGAACTAGAACTCTCCTGTTCCTAGCCCAGCCCCTCCATTGCTACCCCAAAGTGGTGCTTGGAGAAATTAATCAGAAAAGTCACTTTTTCTTCTTCTTTTTTAAACCCCCGTGAGCTTCTTGCGAGCAGGAATCAGCAGAGGTCCTTCCTAATTCTCCCCGTGGTGCAACCAAGCGAAACAAAATGGGGGGAAAAGGACAGCAACTGGTGGGCTGGAAGAAGCTGACCTTGATCAAAGCCCTGCTGTTTGTAGTGGGCTAAAGCCAGTTCCTCAACGGAGCAAACCACCGTCAAGGGTTCCGCTCCCTCCGTTTGACTCTCCCGGATAAACATGGATTTGGCCATCCCGGTCTGTGGGCAGAGTTTTCCTTTGATGGTAACCTAAGTCAAGGAAGAATCCTAGTTAAGGGATAAAGCAAAGCCAGGGATGTCTTCTCCCTCCCCAAGTTCTCCAGAAGTTTCCCCAACCAGCATTAACTCCGGAGGGGAAAGAGTGGGTTAGGCAGTGGTCCCAGGAGGAAGCGTATCGACAAACATTTGGGCCATTCCTTGTAGACGTTGAAGTACTTACATGGGTAACATCATCCACCGAAAGAAGAGGCAGTTCGAGAAGAAGACGCTTGAACTTCTGGCAGGCTGGCGTGTCTTTCATCCTTTGGACACGCTGGGAGAGACCAAGATGGTGGCCTGGGCGAAGGAAGGGATCCAGGAGGCCTTTCCGGAGGGACGCAACAGTCTAGCACCCAACCAGCCATTGCAGAGAGTTGATTAGCCAAATATAACCAAGGCACATGGGTCATTTCCTCAAGTGCCAGGCAGAAAGATTCTTAGGTAGAAGGAGGAGGTCTTCTACAAGGACGCTGTTGGGAAGACCAACGTTGGAGAACCAGGGGCGGGATACAAAAATCCCAGCAACCAGTTCGCTGCCCGGTTGCTGGGTGGGCATGGATGGGGCCTACCAGAACGTCCTGTTTCCGGCTTCTGGTGGGCCTCCACAGCCCGGGGGGAGGCCATTTTTGCCTTTTCAAGGGTCCAGAAGCCTCCCCAGGGTCTCTGGGAGGATAAAAACAGCCTCTCTCGGCCACTGGAGGCCCACCGGAA